CCTCTTCCCCTCCCCCACCCCAACGGCTAAATAGCCGTTTGAGGTGTGCCCGGCACTTTTTTTTTTTAAACTTTTTGCAGGATTTGAAATAAACAAAAAAAAAAAAAATTAACCGGTATCGGAACTGAACCGGTACCGCCGGTACCGGTACCAAAAAATAGGTACCGGAACCGGTGACACGGCGACGACGACGGTGACGGTGGCGGGTATCGGCGGTACCGTTGCCGGTGACGGTACCGTACCGGTACCGTGTCCACCCCTACACTCGGATAAGCCAACTAAGACACAATCCCGGACCTGGCATGCTGGTTACTACACCGGTTTTGTTCAGTATAATAAAAAAATAAACCCGGAAGAGGGGCCCCGGATAAGGGGTAAGCCTGCAAGAAGGCTGGACGTGGAAGAAGGTTCGAAACCATAAAACTAATTAGAACTAAAAGATGCCCATTAAAAGAAATAGAAAAGGATTATTCACTGCAATGCATCCTACTCTGACCGGGTCGGATTCCCCCTTCTCAGGGAAGACTTGAATGGGGGGTGAGCTAAGGCCTTTTACCCCGGGATAGTAAACATCAAAGGGCCATTAAAAGACTTAATCACCCGAAAGAGGGGGGCCTGGAAGAAGGGTGCATTTGAACCTTAGAGAGGGTTCAAGGCCATTCGACATGGTTACATCTCTAGTATTCTTACCGGGTAAGTGTAACACCCCAACCCGCGTAACCCGAACCAACGGGTTAGCGAACTGGGTTGTTACTAAATTGGTATTCGCACACATAATTTTTTTTTCTTTTCTAAAATAAATAATTAAATAAATTATAAAATTTTTCCCGTAAGAGTTTAAACTAAACCAAAATTCATCAGAGTAATAAAGCAAGTCCAAACGTTGCGGAAGCATAAGAAATCCAAACGTCCAACAGTCCATATAATCAAATAAAATAATGTACTTTAATTATTAAAGTAAACAAGAGCCATCCACGTCACCACTTCATTGCCCTCCAGGTTGCCCATCCAAATCTGTGTTCCTACCTGCGTGCAGTCAAACAACAACGACTACACGCTCAGTGAAACGCTGAGTGAAAATATACCTAATTTAACATTAACTCACAGAATAGCTCCACATTAACATACAATCATCAACAGCATGTGGTCACGGAGAAAAATAGCTTAAATAAACATAATTATATTAACACCTTCCACTTGAACATCATGTCCTTATTTTATCCCACATCAACTACTTTGAGTCATGGCAACCCAAGCAATGCTATAAAAGGGCCAGCTCAGAAACCCAAAGGAGATTCACTTTGGGCGGGTTGAAGCCCTGTCCCTGCGATGCCAGGACAGGTCGCGGACTTCCGTACGTACGTTTTTAACCCAAGACCACCGGGGTGCGACAACCCCCCGCAGTGGCCAACTTCCTAACCATACCCTATTGGTGATTCAATCAGTCAATCCAATTTAGGCCAGCGTAATTATACTAGGTGGCATATTTCCCATATATCATTCATAATCCACAATATTCACCAATAATATCAATTTAACTTAAATTTCAGTTCACAATTCACAACAAGTCACGTAGCGGCCTATCCGGGCCAAAGACCCACGATTACCGTCATGCATAATCAAACAACCCGAATTACAATTAACCGAACTTACCTGCGCGGAGTCGATACCAAGGAATCGATCCTCGGGCCCGTTTCCCCCGCCGGAGCAGTATCAATTACCACCGGATCAGCCAATAACCCGCCGGACCAACCCGGCAACCCCAACCCGCTGCCCGTTGACAGTCGTAGTTTTTCGGGTAGTAAACCTCCCAAGTAAAGGGTTAGTTTTTTCTCCGAGTGTCGTGTCTCTCGAGGAGTGGACGAAGAGAATTAGTTTAATTACTCTAATTAGGCGAAGGCTTGGACAGGTTTATGAAAGTCTTCTCAGAACGATTATAAAAGGAGCAGAGTAAAAATAATAAATTAATTTTACATAGTATAAGTTTAGATCTGGACCTAGGGTCGGAACATCATTTGGATCTATTTTATCATATTAAATTAACAATTGGAATAATAATATTTCTATTATTACTCATCCATTTCTAGATTTGTACTTAATCCGTTGTACTTGAATATCATAACCCTTTTGGGATACAATATTTTCTCAATAAATAGNGAACGATTATAAAAGGAGCAGAGTAAAAATAATAAATTAATTTTACATAGTATAAGTTTAGATCTGGACCTAGGGTCGGAACATCATTTGGATCTATTTTATCATATTAAATTAACAATTGGAATAATAATATTTCTATTATTACTCATCCATTTCTAGATTTGTACTTAATCCGTTGTACTTGAATATCATAACCCTTTTGGGATACAATATTTTCTCAATAAATAGATAATTAAATCTTTTGAGATTAATTAAATAAATAAGGGAAGAACAATTGACTAACCATTCCAACATTAATTTAACATTCAAAATACATCACCAAACTAGTCCGGGCCTAGAGATCTGGACCTAACTCATACTATGCAAACATGAATTAAAACAGCATTTTATTAAATAAAGGAAACTTACAACTTCCGTACAAGCGGAATTGAATGGATCTAGAGTCGAAACCTCCGAAAATACTTCAAAACTAATACTAACACTAATCTACACGAAATATTGACTAAAATAGAGAGGAAACCCGAGTGGGGTTGAGAGATGGTTTTGAAATGAAGAGGATCCGCGCTGTATTTATAGGCTACGAACTACGGGCGTCCAACTCCCTGGGCGTCCAACTTTCGACGCCCGTACACCCAACACGTGTTCCGTCGAGTCGCTGGTTGCTGCGTGTCATTCCCGTGTTAGCTGTGGTTTCTTGGGTGTCCAACTACCCCGGGCGTCCAACTTTGGACGCCCAAGATCCAAATCTTGCACCCAATTTGCGAATATTCGAGATCTTGGCCCATGTTTGCTCCGTTTGACTCCCGAACACTGATTTCTACCTCCAAAGTATTATGATCTTTAAAATCTGAAACTTTTCATCCAATTTGGAGCATAAAATTGACAAATTCACTTAATTTAATTTGGAACCCATATTTTATTCTTCTTGAGACAAAACCTATGTTTTGTCACTAATAGACACTTTAATGGGTAAATTTATTACTATTTTCGTGGAATAACGCTTAAAGTATGTAGAATAAAATAAGAACAAAATGAACTTATCAAATTCCTCACACTTAAACGTTGCTTGCGTCAAGCAACAAATTGAATAAGTTATGTATGAAAACAAATTAGTAATCACAAAAGAAAAGTTTAAGTTACACAACTTGAAGGAAATGAAAGATAAGATGATCATCAACGTTTTTGCATGAACAAGTAAATTTGAAGATTCTCACCCATATTGTTAGAAATTTAAAAATATTTTGTCAAACTAATATTTTTACCCCATTAAATCAAATTAAACTCTAAATTTTCATTGGGATAATTTTTTTTTAGGATTATTTTGAAATCAAAAAGCGTTTAAAAGCTCTAATAAAAATAGATTCCCAAAATGGTTTTGTCAAACAATATAGTAAGGGCCTATTTATTTCATTAAGCATTATTTATCACGAGAGAATTCTCGGCATATTGCATTACTGAGATTGTGGATTTATTCTATGACAAATGCATACTTGCTCCCTCGCCTTATGCGATTAGCGGGAGAAGCAGAGCCCCTTTACGGAGATAGAATTTCCAATTCGTCACTTAAGCGCAATCCCAACAAATAAAATTTAAACTATTAGAATTTTTTATATAGACCCTTATATTTAGAAGAAACCTTTATGAGAAACGACATTTTTAAAGAAGCTATTTAAAAATTGATTGATCTTAAAAAAACTTAGAAAATACTAATGTATCCCAAATGATTTTGGAAATTGTTTGAAAAAAAATTACGGAAAAAGAATAAAAGTTGACAAAAAATTTAAAAATTCCCAGTTTTTATGGGTGATAACTTAAAACCTAATTATTTAAACAAAAGAGTTGATAACCATACTTATAAAATCTTTACCCACAAATATGCAAAGCAAACAATTCTAACCCGGAATATTTCAACTAATAATTCACATCCTCCTCACACTTGAATGGAACCGCGCCCTCACGGCAAAAAAAATGTTTCAGAGTAGAATTTTGGTTGAAGTATCAAAGATATGATGACTAAGATGATTGCATAAGTAAAATATTCAAAATGATGATTGAAATAGTAAATAAGCATAACCATAAAAGTTTACCAGAAGAAGACAAATAGGAATCCAAACAAACCAGTCAAGTCATCAATTCCAGCTCAAATAAGATAAAAAGTTCTTGGAGAAAGTAGGAGATCACTGCAGAGGCTGGGAGGTGGAGGGACCGTTGTCTCGGGGCTGCTGTTGATGTGGCGAAAGGTTTGTCTGTTGGAAGACGGGTTTACGCCTATGTCGTACTAAACCGTGTTCGTTTTATGACAGGTTTTGATAATGTCAAACCGCTGTGACAATAACAAGGTTAAACTGAGCAAAACCAAGGCGAAGGAACATGACATGATGAACTGAGAATCGAGAACCAAGAACGAAGACTTAGAATTTATTGAGTCGGTCTTAATGTGATCAAGACCGGCACAAACTTCAAAACTTGCCTCTCTAGGCTTGCTTCACTAAAATATTTTTTTCATATTCAAAAAATTTTTTCATAAGTTTTAAACAAGCCTAAAAACACTTGGAGTTCGCCTAAACCAAAAACCAAGCCATCCGGCGTTCGGTTTTCAGAAACCAGCGTTCGGCTTTCGGTTATCGGCGTTGGTTTTTGGCGTTCCAACCAACCAAGTGGTTTTCAACTTTTTATGATTTTTTTTACTTCTGGGCATATTTAAATAGTTCTCCAACAAAAATGCTTCAAAAACCACCTTTCGTTTTTGGTAGTTTAGTGAAAACCACTCGAAACGGCGTAACCTTGGCTAGCCGTGGTTTTTAAGATGTTTTACTTGATTTCTTAGCAAAATGCATTAAACAAATGTTTTCAATACTTGGTTTTTACTTTGGAGAAGTTAGATTTTTGAGATCGGCTAACGGCTTGACTAAACCAACCATGGGTCTGGCTAAACCAGCCAACATCGATGTTGGTGAAACCAACAGCGCTGTCTGGCATGGGTAGCTGAAAACCATGGTTTGGCGTTAAGTCTTCAAACAGCGATGTTGGATGTTAGACATCGCTGATGAGCCAAGGTTGGGTTTCAGAAACATCTGGAACAACGATGTAGACTATCTTACATTGCTGTCCAACCTAAGCCAAAAATAAATGTCTTTGGCAAAGAGTTCTTGGACAGCGATGTTGACCCAGCAACAGTGCTGTTATGCCAACTCCTTCCCCTTCAAAGACAGGCATGAACAACGATGTTCAAGTAATGAACATCGATGTAGGCACCTGACTGTTGGAAGGAATTTATGGCTAAAACTTTCCTTGTTTGGAAGTCAACAGCCAAAACAGTGATGTAGGGGTTTTGGACATCGCTGTTGGCATGACCGTTGCTTCCTAATTTTCAAAAATCAAGCCTAGAATAGCGATGTCCAACAGTGATGTCCAAGCCATGGACATCGCTGTCTAGAAGATTTTCAGCAAATCCAATTTTAATGAAATCCCACAAATTGTGCCAATCACCCCTTAAATGTTTTGATCCGTTCGAGCCTATTCTTCCACTATAAAATGGGGTGTTTGGGTCTTTTTTACATATCACATTACTTCACAACTCTCATTCTTTCATTGCATACAATTCATATATTATTCACAGCTTTTCAAGAGCCATTTTTGTGAAGTTTGTGTTGTGTTCTTGAGCGTTCTTAGTTACTCATTATCTACTCTAAAAGAGAGTTTTGTTCTTGAGTGATTTAGTGTTCTTAGACACTTGACAAGAGAAAATATTTCTCTTGTTGTTCGAAGGAAGGGTTGTTTCCTTCGAAGGTTCGTTGAGGTTCGTGTGACCTGAACTCTCAAGTTGTACGCGTTTGTTAAGCACCGTTAAGCTTAACGAGATAGTAGTGTAGCTCGAGAGAGTCTCTCGGGAGGCTGGATTAGCCATAAGTTGTGGTGAACCAGGGTAAATTCGGTGTGCCTCTTACTCTTCTCTTTACTTCTCATTTGAATTTTTAATTCCTGCGATTTCTACAAACAAACGCTATTCACCCCCCCTCTAGCGTTGGTCTATTATTCTAACAATTGGTATTAGAGCCTAACTCGCGTCCAAACTTAACCGTTTGAGAGTAAAGCGATCATGGGTTCTTCTTCTGGAAATCTTTATGCAGGGATCGGAGAAGGTCAATCAACTTCTAGGCCACCACTCTTTGATGGCACCAACTACACATATTGGAAAGAGTGGATGAGAATTTATATCCGCTCAACCAACTTCGAGTTGTGGTTGGTCATCAAGAATGGCGAAGAAATGCCAATGAAGAAGGTTGGTGAAAAACTCGTCCCAAAGACCGAGGACGAATTTGATGCCGAAGACGTAAAAAAGGTGGAGAACTACGCCAAGGCAATCAACATGCTGTACTGTGCGGTCAACCCCGTTGATTATCGCAAGATCTCTTGCTGCACCATTGCCAAAGAAATGTGGGACAAGCTGGAGGTCACATACAAAGGTACGGCCCAAGTTTGGGAAGCCAAAATTGACTTCCTAATGCAGGAGTACGAGATGTTTATGATGAAGGAAGGCGAAAAGATCAATGACATGTTCGATCGGTTTTCCAAGATCATCAATGACCTTCATGCCCTCAAGAAGACTTACACCAACAAGGATTTCACAAAGCAAGCAAACATACGGTGGAAGAAGTCTCAAGCGATGATGACAACGAGTTCGGACTCGTCATCAAGAAATTCCACAAATTTATGAAGAAGGAATTTGAGCGCAAAGGGAGAAAGCACGACGGTCCCCCGAAGTGCTGTGGTTGTGGCGAGATAGGCCACATCAAGCCGAGGTGTCCAAAAGGCAATAGCGGCAAGGACAAACCTAGCTTCAAAAAGCAAAGAGCCTATATCTCATGGGGTGGCGACTCCGGCAACGAGTCAACAGATCAAGAAGAGGATGAAGCCGCCAACCTCTGTCTCATGGCACATGAAGACCATGCCGATGAAGTACAAGATGTGTGCTTGAAGGCGTCAAGTGTACTTTGGTACCTTGATAGCGGATGCTCCAAGCACTTGACCGGAGATGCATCCAAGTTCATACAAATCAAACCCGCCAAGGAGGAAACATAGTCTTCGGAGATAATAGCAAGGGAAAGATTATTGGCATCGGTTCGGTAGGTAAGTCCGAAGACTCCTCTATAGATAATGTCTTGCTAGTTAAGGGTCTTAAACACAATCTCTTGAGCATAAGTCAATTATGTGACAAGGGAAACCGTGTGATCTTCGATTCAAAATCATGCACGGTAGAACGCCTTAGTGAAAATAAGGTCATTCTACGTGGTGATAGAATCGATAACATATATATGGTTAACTTAGACAAATCTCATTCCGGCTTTTCTAAGTGCCTCATGAGTAAAGAGGAAGACACTTGGTTATGGCACCGAAGGGTAGCTCAGATGAACATGAACCTTTTGAACAAATTGGTTTCACAAGACTTAGTAATTGGCATTCCAAAACTTAAGTTTGAAAAAGACACCATATGTGATGCATGTAAAAAAGGGAAGCAAGTTCGGGCTTCGTTTAAGTCTAAGAACGTTGTTTCAACGTCTAGACCGCTTCAACTTTTGCACATGGATCTCTATGGTCCTTCTAGAATGAAAAGTTTTGGTGGTAATTACTTTGCGTTTGTGATTGTCGATGACTACTCTAGGTTTACATGGACTTTGTTTCTAACTCACAAAAGTGAGGCATTTCACGTTTTCAAAAATTTTCTAAAGAAAGTTCAAAATGAAAAAGAAACAACCATAGTAGCCATAAGAAGCGACCATGGGGGAGAGTTCGAACGAAATCTATTCTCAGATTTATGTGACGAACTAGGCATTGATCATAATTTCTCAGCCCCACGCACACCACAACAAAATGGAGTGGTGGAACGTAAAAATAGATGTATCGAAGATATGGCTAGAACTATGATCAATGAGGCAAAAACCCCTAAGTATTTTTGGGCGGATGCCGTGAGTACCGCGAGCTATGTGTTAAACCGAGCCGTCATTCGACCGATACTCATGAAAACGCCTTATGAACTATACAAAGGGAGAAAGCCAAACCTTTCCCATCTTCGAGTCTTTGGTTGCAAATGTTTTATTCATAACAACGGCAAAGACAATTTAGGCAAATTTGATGCCAAGTCGGATGAAGGGATTTTTCTAGGTTACTCATTACGTAGCAAGGCCTATAGAGTCTTTAATAAACGTACGTTGACTATTGAGGAGTCCCCTCACGTTGTATTTTCCAAAGACAATCCTCGCTTGGCGAGATAGGATATTTGTGATGATCTTGCAGATTCATTACAGAGAATACACGTTGAAGACGATGAAGAGAACACGGGAATATACATTAACACACAGCCGCAAATTGGGGAGACGCCTCAAGCGACTAACCAAGGTGAAGAAGAAAATCAAGAGGAAGAAAAAGAACAAGAGGAACACGACGAAGAAGCAACCGAGGTTCCCGTTGTATGGAGAACGAACAAGAACCACCCGCTTGACCAGGTAATCGATAGCATCAACCGCGGGGTAAGTACTCAAAACTCACTTAGGGACACCGTAGGACACATGGCTTTTGTTTCTCAAATTGAACCTACAACCATTTGTGAAGCAATAAACGATGAACATTGGACCTTGGCTATGCAAGAGGAGCTAAACCAATTCAAACGGAATGACGTTTGGGAATTAGTGCCAAGGCCCGATGATTGTACGATTATTGGTACGAAATGAGTGTTCCCTAACAAACTTGATGAAAATGGAATAATCACTAGAAACAAAGCTAGGCTCGTAGCTAAAGGCTAAAATCAAGAAGAAGGTATTGATTTTGAAGAAACTTATGCACTCGTAGCACGTTTAGAAGCTGTTCGTTTACTTCTTGCTTTTGCCTCGTCTATGGATTTTAAACTTTATCAAATGGATGTTAAGAGTGCCTTCCTCAATGGTTTTATTCAATAGGAAGTGTATGTTGACCAGCCCCCGAGGTTTGAAGACTTTGAGTTTCCCGACTGATAAGAACATTTTGTTCTTATCATTTTTATCATATTTTAGCGTATTGCACGTAAATAATATTTAATCGTTTGTATTAATTGTGCATTTCATGGATAAAAATGCTTTAATTTGTTTTACTAGTCATAAAAATGGTCTTTAAGGAAAATCGAGTCAAATATACCATTTCATGACTAATTATGTGAGAAAAGGGTAAAATTATCAACTCCGGGTCAAAGTTGGACTCCTCCTAGGTAAGGATTCGCACAATGGGCCAAAAAGGAACGAAATGGGGCGCAATTGGACCCTAATCCGCATAGGTCATGGAAGACCATTCGTGCGCCGCAAGAACCAGAAGCCGAGGCGTCCCGCCCAGACGCCTGGAGGGGGGGGGGGACGCTTGGATTTTCGGACGCTTCAGGTTTCGCCTTCCCCAAGATTGCCACGCATCGCCACCAAAATGGATCGGGAGCCGAGGCGTCCGCAGCTAGTTGCCTCGGGGGACGCTTGGGGCTGGGACGCCCGGGCTCCTATTATTATAAATACGGACCCTCCCCTGTCACGAACCATCATCACATCAGCAACAGTTTTCTGCCTTTCTCGGGTTTTACACCCCTTTTTACATTTTTTTCATATTTTAGTAGTTTAGGAATATTTTTAGGGGTACTCTAGAGCATTTGTCGCCCAGACCTCTTTCCACGATTTTGTGATATCATTCTGCTTGTCCGGAAACGGTAAGTAGATCTCTTTTAATATTATGCTGTTATTTTAGTTCATTATTTCACCATTTTTTGGCTTTGGGGTGTGATGGAATAAATCAAAATGGATCTCTAATCTGTCTGCGCTTCTTTAATTAATGAAGTAGCAGTTAGTCAAGCAATGCAACTTTCGACGTTGAGTCGGGGGTCTCTTTGGAAACAGCCTCTCTACTTTCAGGTAGGGGCAAGGTCTGCGTACACACACCCTCCCCAGACCCTACACTTGTGGGATTTAACTGGGTTGTTGTTGTTGTTGTTGTTGTATTTCCATAGTATGAGTTAGGATTCGGACGCCTAGGGTCCGGGCTTGTTTGTAGTTATGCTTTTTATTACTGAATTAATGCTGGAATTTATATTCTGAATTTTCTCTTGCCTTAACTGGTTAATTAATATAGAAATATTTAGTTAACTTTTTATTGAGAAAATATTTTACGCCGAAAGGCTGAATTATTCAAGATCTGTTTAGGGTAATCACGAATCTAGAAATAGCTGAGTGGTAGTAGAAATACGATTTTTCTAAACATTAATTTAATTAATTTAAGTAAACCCAAATGATGTCCTGGCCCTAGATCCAATTCCTACTTGTACTATGTGAATAAATTTATTTTCTTGTATTTATTATTTCTTTTTCCCCTTTTATTTTTGCATCGAGAAGACTTCTAAAACCAATCCAAATCTTCGCCTAACTAGAGAAGTTGAATTATTTCCCTTCGTCCACTCCTCTAGAGAACGACAACTCTGGGATAAAACTAACCCTTACTGGGAAGGTTTATACTACAAAAAAAACTATTCGATCAAATTGGCTCCGTTGCCGGGGAGTGGCACGGTATTAATTTAGTTTCTTCTAGTTAGCTTAGGTGAGGATCGGTTAGGTCGATTTTCTCACATCTTTTACACAATCCACCCATAATAATTATGGATAACTCCAGTTATTATGGTCCGCCTTCTTACTATCCACCACCAAATCGCCCTCCGTATTTATATCCGCAAACCTACCACCCACATCAAAATTAATTTGATGATGACTATCCAGTCAACAATGGGTGTGACTACTACCCGAACCATGAGGAACCCCCATGCCAATCCCAACCCAGTGACTATGGTAACTCTCCATATAACTATAGGGATTATTATGAATCTCATGGAGATCAATATGATTATGGCCAACATGGGCCTACGTACGACTACCAGCCTAATCCATATGAGGAAGAGCTTCGAGGGGCCGAGAATAGGAGTGAAGAACTTGATGAGGAATTAATGAACGAAGATCCATCCTATCAACCCCCTCCCCTCCACAATTATAATGACCACTCTGTTGCATTCAAGCTTGAATGGAACAAGAGGGCCATTGAGTGGAGATTTAACCAAATTGCCCAACTCCGAGAAGAAAGAGCTCAACGTGAAAGGGATGCGAAGGAATTTTACGATAAAGAAAATGAGGTCAGGGAACTTGATCGATTATTAGCAATGCACAACGTATTTTTCATGTCCCCTGCGTATGATCGGTATGATGAATTGTCTCCTGAGTTTTGGAGGAAACACATGGAGCAACATATTCGTATTCGATCAGACAAACTCAATTTCTTAGAAGAACAAGCAGAATATGACCTTCGAGCCCAATAAGAGTTGGAGCAATCAAGAGAATGGGAGCCGCATCAACTTGATCAAGAAGAGATTTACCTAGACCCTATTCTCGAAGATTCACAAGAACCTGCGCCAGCACAGGAACCTGAGTATAGCATGACCCAGCCGTTGCTCACTCAGGCTATTGTGATGGAATTACCTGAATGCCCTCCTAGCGGCAAGGTCGTACATAAGGTGGAACCAACTAAGGAATCTGACTCAGAACCACCTCTACAATCCCCAATAGAAGAAAAGGATGAGGAAAATGTCCCCGTGACAATAGACTCACCTCTTCTTATCTGTGTTGAAGACATACCTCCAGAGGAACCTATTCTGGAGGAAATAGAGCCCACTACCTACCCCCTAGATTCCAAAGAGTCTAAAGAGGAATCTATAGACGAGAAAATACTTTTCTCAGAAGATCCAACTCCGTCTATAGAAACCTCTGTAATTAATGCTTCACCAGTAGACTTTGACAAATCTTCTTCGACTCACTACTTGGCGGGTATGACGATGTCTGCCTGAAGGATAGTTGGAGTCAAATGAGCTGGGATGATCTTCTAAGTGACTTGGAAGACTCTTCTGTAGGGGTACAAGACGTCATAGTCATTGAGCCACAATTGGATAGACAACCCATTAAAGGTTCGATAGAAATCAATCTAGCAACTAAGGCCAATGTTGTGGATCTATTGAGGATACCTCCGCCACCACCCACCAATTACAAGTCTCCTCTGTTTATCCTGCTGCCACCTAGCCGCAAGGAGAAGTCAAGGATCCTGGACCTTGGCTATGCAAATTGTCAATCAAGGTTGCATCAGAAAAGTGTTTGTAGGGCCAAACTCTACGATGCCCGGATCGGAAAATCGCGGAAAAAGTGATTAAAGCGTCAAGCTACTGACGTTAAAGAAGCGCTCAACGGGAGGCAACCCGTCATTTAAAAATACAAAAGTATTTACATTTCTCTTACTTGCTTTACTGTTTCTACTTGTCGCACCAGTTCTGGGGGCAAGATTTTACTTGTTTACTTTTCTTGTTTTTTTGCAGATGGACGCTGCTTGGATGATACCACATGGTGATCAACGCACGTTGCGCGACCTGGACGCTCTGCCATTCACCTCCGATGAAGCCAAAAAGAAGTTCTTGATCTGGGGAAATCAAAAGTCACTCCAGCCCCCGTTGGTGTTAGACCCTGCGACCCTGATTGAGAGTGGATACTGGGAAGAAATTGACGAGTTTCTCTATGATCCAAAGTGGAGAGTCCTGCTTTTCCTGCGCGCAGCAGCCAGCCTAGAGCTCACCGTGGAATTCCTATGTTCCCTCCAATTTTTCAATAAAGAGGAGGAAGTCAAGGCTCCAGCCAAAGTCACCTACGCTACTACGGTGATCTTTACATTGGTCGGCAGACGGTTTCAGCTCTCAGTGGCAGATTTAGGTTAGCTTCTTGGCTTGTACACCCTGGACGAGATGAGGACCGAGGAGTCTGCCCGCCTGCCAGACACTTTGGATCCTGCGTTCAATGCCAAGAAATTCTGGCAAGCAAATGGCCGAGCGATGTACGTGAGTGGCAGCACCTTCTCGATGTATTGGAAGCGTCCAACCTAGAGGATCTTGCACCATGCCCTGGTGCACAGCTATTTTGGACGAGGCCATGCTCTTGACATAGTGTATGAGTCCGATCTGCTATTTTTCTGGAGTTTACATGCGCAGATTCCGGTGAACGTGGCAACATTCGTAGCACGGTTCTTGTTTGGGCAGTCCGACACGGAGGACCAAGGCGTTTTGTGTGGACCCCTGGTGACTCTGCTGGCCCAAGGATTAAAGATGCAAGTTGCCAATGTAATTCCTGAGCCTCTTAGCGTCTTCCGTCCTCATGTGGGCTACCTAGTGCAGATCGCATACAGCAAGAAGGACGAAGAGGAGCGCCCCAAGAAGCAGAGGACCATTCCGATGACACTCCGTGAGCTCTCACACGCCATATTTGCTTTTCAAGACTCGGTGGAATCCCGCCTGGGGAAGATTGAGGTCATGGTCGAGACGCAACAATGGCAGGTTGAGGAGATAATGGACTTCGTCGTGGAGCAGAGGGTGAGGAAGGAGCGAAAGGCCAAGCTTAAAGAGGACGCGAAGACAAAGAAGCATTAGGGACAGTGAAGATCCCTATTTACCTTATTTCATTTATTTAGTCGTGACTGGTTATTTTATTTCAATTTCCCATTATGTGCCCGTTTTTATGACTGTTAAAACATTTTCCTAATGTAATTCTATTCATTGATTTCATCGTTATATGGCATGCTTAATTATTATTTCAATCATCCTATTGAATCCTCCAAGTGTGAGGAAAATATTAGTGCTTGCATGTGAGTACATTCCAACCATTAACTCTGTCTTCAAAACACTTTTTAACCACAAGGGCGTGGTTCCGTTTAAGTGTGAGGAGGCATGAGTTACTGGTTGAAATATGCTCTTAGGAATTGTTCTCCCTTTATATGTGTTAGGTAAAGATTTTTTAAAATTGTCATCAATTTTAGTTGTTTAAATTCATTAAATTTTTTAATTTTTCACCCATAAAAATTGCAAATTTTTAAATTTTTTGTCAAACTTTTAATTTTATTCTAACCTTATGGGAATAGTTTCTAAAAACTCCTTTGAAATAAATTCAATTTTATTTAGAATTTTAAAGATCAAACACTTTTTATTTGTTTCTTTGAAAATCATTGCTTATAAAAAGATTTCTTTTCAAAATGTAAAGGGATGATATAAAAAAAGAGAGAGAGAAATAATTAAATAATTATCAATTCATTGAAATACTTCTCTGTCACCAATAATTAAAGTACCTATTGGGATTGCGCTTAAGTGACGAATTGGGAATTCTATCTCCGTGAAGGGGTTCTGCTTCTCCCATTAATCGTATAAGGTGAGGGAGCAAGTATTTATATGGAATAAACCCTCAATCTCTTTAGAAAAAATGCATAAGTGACATGAATCAAGTAGGGTGAAACCTTTACATTTTGGAAATTACTCTTAAAAGAAGCGGGTTTTCCAATGTTGAGCCATTAAAAACTTTTTGATCTTTTCAAATTTCTTGTAAAATGTTTTTATCTTCAAGAAGGTTGAGGAAATTTGGTGGTTTAGGTAAGTTTAAAATCATTAGTTTGACAAAAATATTTCTACATTTCTAACCTATATGGGTGATAATTTGAAAACTTCTTTAATTTTTACAAACAAGGTTGATGACAATTTTATTTCTTCTTGCCCTTACATTATATATAGTCTAAACATTTTCTCTGCATTATTCAGTGTGTTGCTTGAGGGCAAGTAACGTTTAAGTGTGAGGAATTTGATAAGAACATTTTGTTCTTATCATTTTTATCATATTTTAGCGTTATTGCACGTAAATAATATTTAATCGTTTCATTAATTGTGCATTTCATGGATAAAAATGCTTTAATTTGTTTTACTAGTCATAAAAAGGGTCTTTAAGGAAAATCGAATCAAATCTACCATTTCATGACTAATTATGTGAGAAAAGGGTAAAATTATCAACTCCGGGTCAAAGTTGCACTCCTCCTAGGTCAGGATTCGCACAATGGGCCAAAAAGGAACGAAATGGGGCTCAATTGGACCCTAATCCGCATAGGTCACAGAAGACCATTCGTGCGCCGCAAGAACCAGAAGCCGAAGCGTCCCGCCCAGACGCCTGGAGGGGGGATGCTTGGATTTTCGGACGCTTTAGGTTTCGTCTTCCCCAAGATTGCCACGCGTCGCCACCAAAAATGGATCGGGAGCCGAGGCGTCCGCAGCCAGACGCCCGGGCTCCTATTATTATAAATACGGACCCTCCTCTGTCACGAACCATCATCACATCAGCATCAGTTTTCTGCTTTTCTCGGGTTTTACACCCCTTTTTACAGTTTTTTCATATTTTAGTAGTTTATGAATATTTTTAGGGGTACTCTGGAGCATTTGTCGCCCAGACCTCTTTCCAAGATTTTGTGCTATCATTCTGCTTGTCCGGAAACGGTAAGTAGATCTCTTTTAATATTATGCCGTTATTTTAGTTCATTATTTCCATAGTATGAGTTAGGATTCGGACCCCTAGGGTCCAGGCCAGCTTGTAGTTATGCTTTTTATTACTGAATTAATGCTGGAATTTTTATTCTGAATTTGCTCTTGCCTTAACTGGTTAATTAATATAGAAATATTTAATTAAATTTTTATTGAGAAAATATTTTACGCCGAAAGGCTGAAATATTCAAGATCTGTTTAGGGTAATCACGAATCTAGAAATAGATGAGTGGTAGTAGAAATACGATTTTTCCAAACATTAATTTAATTAATTTAAGTAAAATCAGATGATGTCCTGGCCCTAGATCCAATTCCTACTTGTACTATGTGAATAAATTTATTTTCTTGTATTTATTATTTTTTCCCCTTTTATTTTCGCATCGAGAAGACTTCTAAAACCAATCCAAATCTTCGCCTAACTAGAGAAGTTGAATTAATTCCCTTCGTCCACTCCTCTAGAGAACGACAACTCGGGGATAAAACTAACCCTTACTGGGAAGGTTTATACTCCAAAAAAAACTATTTGATCACCGACCATGTCTTCAGACTCAAGAAAGCGCTCTACGGTCTTAAACAAGCACCCCGTGCCTGGTACGAACGTTTGAGTAAATTTCTTTTGGACAGTGGTTTCCAAAGGGGAAAGGTCGACACTACACTTTTTATCAAGTTTATGTAGACGATATTATATTCAGTGCTACTAACGAGTCTTTGTGCAAGGAATTCTCAACGTTAATGACAAGTGAATTCGAAATGTCAATAATGGGCGAGCTCACGTTCTTTTTGGGACTCCAAGTCAAGAAAATGAAAGATGGCATGTTCATTTGCCAAACTAAATATTGCAAGGAGCTCCTAAAAAAATTCGAAATGGACAACGCCAAAGCCACGGCGACCCCGATGAGCACGTCCGACCATCTTGACAAAGACGAGAAAAGTAAGGAAGTAGAAGTCAAAAAGTATCGAGGTATGATCGGATCCCTTCTCTATCTTACCGCTAGTAGGCCAGATATCATGTTTAGCGTATGCCTTTGCACAAACAGATCATTAAATACCTTGTTGGCATGGTTAACGTTGGACTGTGGTATCCAAAAGGCTCTTCGTGCCATTTCGTTGGTTATTCCGAATCGGACTTTGCCGGTTGCAAATTGGACCGTAAAAGTACGAGTGAGACTTGCCACTTATTTGGTAGCTCTTTAGTTTCATGGTTTAGTAAGAAGCAAGTCAGTGTTGCGTTATCCATAACTGAAGCGGAATACGTTGCCGCCGGTAGTTGTTGTGCTCAAATCCTTTGGATGATGCAACAACTCGTGGACTATGGCCTTAGTATCAGTCACGTTTCACTTCGTTGTGATAATACTAGCGCCATAAGCTTGATGAAGAACCTCGTTCTTCACTCAAGGACGAAACTCATTGACATTAGGCATCATTTCATTAGAGATCATGTTCTCAAAGGTGATGTCGAAATTGAGTTCGTTGAAACACACAACCAATTAGCCGACATTTTCACAAAACCTTTAGAGAAAGAGTCGTTCTTCCGCATTCGAAGTGAACTCAGAATCCTTGACTCCACGATTATCTAAGTTGTGCATTTTCACTTGTTAAACGTTTACTAACTTGAGCGTCGAAGAACTTTTTCTTTTTTGCAGGTACCCCATTCATAAAATCAGGGGGAACCATGCCTACAGCGCTGTCCAAGAGACCAATAGCGCTGTTGAGAGAAACACCGTCAACTATCTTGCTAAAACAGCGATGTACAATACTCTAACATCGCTGTCACAGGGAGTCTTCTTATTCTTTGCTTTCCAGAAACTTTTTGTACATCAATGTAGCATTTCTAAACATCGTTGTCTCCCTAAACACCATGTTTTCAAGCAAAACCAGAATGTTCTTCAACAGCGATGTACACTGGAGCAACATCGCTGTCCACTTTTACAAATTTTTTTTCTATCGTAAAAAAGCGATGTAGGGAAACCCAACAGCGTTGTTCTAATGGGTTCAAACCCTTACACATTTCCAGAAAGTTTTGGAACATCGCTGTAGGAAACCTAACATCGCTGTCCTTTTGACACCTCGTTTTAAAACTTAACGCAGAACAACGTTGTACAAGGCTACAACAACGATGTCCCAACAGCGATGTCGGCTTTAAAACATCGCTGTTCTCATTGATTTTTTCAAAAAAAAATACCCGTTGGGCACTGCATTAAATGCTCCAACAGCCATTTTTCAGATTTTTGAACGTTGGGAACCCCTCTCCCCATATATTTGTGTCTCCTCTCTTCACTTTTACACACACAAACACAAATCTCTTCAATATTCATGCAAATTTCATCTACTCTACAACTTTTATTGAGATTTCTTCACCACCATGGGCAAAGACAAGAGCAGGGCAGGAACTTCTGGGAAATCCACGTCCAAATCCCGGGCTCCTACGACGTCCCCCGAGGAATGCCTCTACTATGGCGATGGGTCGTACCTTTGGCTCGATTCCTAGGAGGGGTGCACTTGTTTCCTCACCATCTTCTCTAAACGGTTTGTGGCTCCCCCAAGGATCGTTTCGGAGCGCCTACTGGAGCTGCAAGGCTACGACGACCTCAACGCAAAGCTTCACCAAACCGGCCTATGGCCGTTCGTCTCCCGGGATCATAAGGAGATCAACCCGGCGCTGATTCGGGCCTTCTACTCAAATCTCCGGCGTGAGGACGACATCATCTACACCCTCCCCTACCAAGGCAACGACATCTCTCTCTATGGCGGAGAAGACTGGGTTCTCAACAAACGTGGGCCTTCTCCTCAACGAGCTTGGCATCACCGAGCTCATCCGTCATCCCAGGGGCCGCCCCACCATTCACTCCGCGTCCCCCGAGGGCTGTCTCCTCCTCTACATCGCGTCCCGGATCATCAAGCCCTAGAATCATGGGCACACGATCATGTCCGGTGAAGACCTCAAGCTCCTCCATGCGATCTTGCACTCGACCCCTTTCAATTGGGCAAAGTTTGTCAAACATCACGATCGCCGCGTCTACCGCCCACGATCACCTCCTCCTGTACCCGTTTGTGGTGATGGACATCCTTGAACGGTTTAAGGTCACCACCACCGTTGGCCCACTCACAAAGGCCACGAAGCTTTGGACGATCAGCGGCCAAACCTTCACCAAGCGGTCGGACAACGCCGCGCCTGCCACTGCCGCGCCACGCCGCACTGCCACTGTCGCGCCTGCCACTACCACTGGCCTAGCCGAACCCCAGGCCCGGGCAAACCTTGCCTCCATCACCGACTCCCTCAACCGCCTGCACTTCAAAGTCGATGGGATGGATCGCTACCTTGAACGGCTCGACGAGGCTGTTCAACGCCAAGGGCACGCCATGAACGCGTACTTCCAACGCGTTAACTACGTCCCCCCCACCGTACCATGGCACGTTCCTTGGGGAAGTGTACGGTGACGAGGACGAAGAGGATGGGTCCTACGCCCCATCAAGCTGCCCGGACGAGGATGAGTTCGACGATGCCATTGACGGTGATGAGATGGACGACGACGACGAGGAGGCGGAAACCGAAGACGAAGACTAGGACGCCCCTAGAATTTCTATCTCATTTCTTTTAATTATCATGTTTTTTAAATGCTTCCGTTGTACTCCGCTATTTCCCATTTCAATAAATAAAAGTTATCTTTTATCTTTTTGTTAATGTCAAAAGGGGGAATAAAAGGGCTATGCATATACTAACAGGGAACGTCTCTAAAAACGGGATCGTTTGATTTTAATATGACTACTTGCTTTTAAGCACAAATTAAGGGGGGACTTTTTTCACTACCTTTTGAAAATCAAATATCCCTTAGTATGCATATCCCCGTCTTGTTTGCCATTATCAAAAAGGGGGAAATTGTTGGAACACGGGTTTACGCCTATGTCATACTAAACCGTGTTCGTTTTATGACAGGTTTTGATAATGCCAAGTCACCGAGACAATAACTAGATTAAACTAAGCAAAACCGAGGCAAAGGAACATGGAATGATGAACTGAGAATCGAGAACCAAGAGCCAAAAACGAAGACTTAGAATTTATTGAGTCGGTCTTAATGTGATCAAGACCGGCACAAACTTCAAAACTTGCCTCTCTGGGCTGGCTTCACTAAAATACTTTTTGCATATTAAAAAATGTTTTTCATAAGTTTTAAAAAAGCCTAAAAACACTTGGAGTTTGCCCAAACCAAAAACCAAGCCATCCGGCGTTCGGTTTTCAGAAACCAGCGTTCAGCTTTCGGTTATCGGGGTTGGTTTTTGGCGTCCGAACCAACCAAGTGGTTTTCAACTTTTTATGATTGTTTTTTTACTTCTAGGCATATTTAAATAGTTTTCCAACAAAAACGCTTCAAAAACCACCTTTCGTTTTTTGTCGTTTAGTGAAAACAACTCAAAACAACGTAACCTTGGCTAGCTGAGGTTTTTATCTAAATGACGTGGTTTTTAAGATGTTTTACTTGATTTCTTAGAAAACTACATTAAAAATATGTTTTCAATACTTGGTTTTTACTTTGGAGAACTTAGATTTTTGGGATCGGCTAACGGCATGACTAAACCAACCATGGGTCTGGCTAAACCAGCCCAACACCCATGTTGGTGTAACCAACAGCGCTGTCTGGCATGGGTAGCTGAAAACCATGGTTTGGCGTTAAGTCTTCAAACAACGATGTTGGATGTTAGACAACGCTGTTGAGCCAAGGTTGGGTTTTCAGAAACATCTGGAACAGCGATGTAGACTATTCTACATCGCTGTCCAACCTAAGCCAAAAAAATGCCTTTGGTAGAGAGTTCTTGGACAACGATGTTGACCCAGCAACAGCGCTGTAAGGCCAACTCCTTCCTCTTCATAGTCAGGCTTGAACAGCGATGTTCAAGTAATGAACATCGATGTAGGCACCTAACCGTTGGAAGGAATTTATGGCTAAAACTTTCCTTGTTTGGAAGTCAACAGCCAAAACAGCGATGTAGGGGTTTTGGACATCGATGTTGGCATGACCGTTGCTTTCTAATTTTCAAAAATCAAGCCTAGAACAGCGATGTCCAAGCCATGGACAGCGCTGTCTAAAAGATTTTAAACAGATCCAATTTTAATCAAATCCCACAAATTGTTCCAATCACCCCTTAAATGTTTTGATCCGTTGGAGCCTATTTTTCTAGTATAAAATGGGGTGTTTGGGTTTGTTTTACATATCACATTACTTCACAACTCTCATTCTTTCATTGCATACAATTCATATATTATTCATAGCTTTTCGAGAGCCATTTTTGTGAAGTTCGTGTTGTGTTCTTGAGCATTATTAGTTACTCATTAGCCACTCTAAAAGGGAGTTTTGTTCTTGAGTGATTTAGTGTTCTTAGACACTTGACAAGAGAAAATATTTCTCTTGTTATTCGAAGGGTTGTTTCTTTCGAAGGTTCGTTGAGTTTCGTGTGACTCGAACTCTCAAGTTGTACGGGTTTGTTAAGCACCATTAAGCTTAACGAGATAGTAGTGTAACTCGAGAGAGTCTCTCGGGAGGCTGGATTAGCCACAAGTTGTGGTGAACCAGGGTAAATTCGGTGTGCCTCTTACTCTTCTCTTTACTTCTCATTTGAATTTTTAATTCCTGCGATTTCTACGAACAAACACTATTCACCCCCCTCTAGCGTTGGTCTATTATTCTAACATTGTCGGGTTTTCAAAACCCAATGCCTCACGCATCCTGTCTAGTCCATGTACCTACTGCTGGAGTGCCGCGATGGACCGCATAAGTGTATTCTGGTTCTCCAAGAGCTGCTGGGCCAATGCTGGTGCTTCCTCCGTCTGAGCGCGAGCCAACTGTGCTCTGGTGGGTCGTCGACGAGAAAGGCGCTGAGACGGTGTCTGTGACTGACCGGAAGACTCTCCCATCTCATGTGAAGTGTAGCCAGTAGAGGCCGTAGTGCTCACTGAAGAGCTAGGAAAGAGTCTGTGGTGGATGTGAGCATTCCGAAGCATGCCGGCATCTAACTCCCTTATCACCTGCACAGGCCGTGGGATCGGTGCGTTCCCCATGAGGGAGCGAAAGAGTAGTGTAATCACGAACGCACAGACCAAGTGCGTCCTACACCCGTAGGACTGGGAGTATAAAAATATGGCCAGGTACACAGCCACGTTCGCCGGCTGGCGGTCGTGCAAGCTTCAGAAGACAAACATATCCTCCTCGTAGACCCTATTTGTGTTCAACGGCCTTCCAAAGAAGGATGTCGAAAGAACAAAAGATAGGATCCTCCAGTTGGGCTGAATCCAGTATCGCGCCTTAATTTTCTTGTTGACGAACTCTTGCTCCTCAGATGAATGCTCCCTCTAGAAAGCCTTATGGTCAAAGTCTACGGGAACACGGAAGGGAGCGTCGTAGAACTCAGGCTGCTTGGTCTCCTCCTGAGTGTAAAGCCCGAGATGAAATGACTCGCCCACAAGAGTGAAGGCAAATATGGTATTAGCGGTGATCAAAGTATAAGTCATCTATCGTGAATCAATCTCCGGGACAGCAGATATCGAGCATAAGAACTCGATGGTTAGTGGTAGGCTAGACTCTGCCCTCAACTGAAGTAGGCGCTCCCATCTAGTCCCCTCAAGCAGCTTTTCCATCTCCTCTGCATAGCCATAGTCCGTAAGCGTGTCCTGAGCTAGACACACCAACTCGTGTAATACCCATGAGTGTCCCCACTCATCGAACCTCGTCCTAGAGGCAGTATCAATCAAGTGGACCTCACTACGGTCCACAGTAGGGTACGAAGGTCGATGAGGCATCTGCACACACATAAACAAACACATAAAATCTTGCCCCCAAAACTGGTGCGGCAAGTAGAAACACAAAAATAAAAAATAAGATTATTGATTTTATTTAATTATTTTAGTTATTTGAAATGACGGGTTGCCTCCCGTTAAGCGCTTCTTTAACGTCTGTAGCATGACGCTCACCTACTTTTTCCGCGACTTCCTGATCCGAGAGTCATAAAGTTTGGCCCTTCTGACTCTCTTCTGATGCCACCTTGTTTAATTTGTTTTTCGGTCAAGGTACAGGATGCCTGACTCATCCCTGCGGCTTGGTGGCAACAGGATATATGGAGGAGACTTTGTATAGGGGGTGCGGGCGGAAGTCTCCTCAGTAGATCCACATCATTAGCCTTGATTGCAAAATTGATTTCTTCCTTAGCTTCAATTGGCTGCCTGTCCATTTGTGGTTTAATGATTACGACCGTGTTTTCCCCCATGGAAGAGTCCTCATGGTCACTCACTAGAAGTTCATCCCAACTCTTTAAATTCCAACCATCCTTCGGGCAGACATAGTCATACCCATCAAGTAGGGAATCAAAGAAAGCATGGTCTGCATCTTCAGATGAATCATTATTTGCGCAGGTTTCTATAGACGGAATTGGCCTTTCTATGCACAATTCTTCCTCATCTATAGGTTCCTCCTTAGACTCGTGGGTATTGGAATCTTGAGGGTTTGTTGTGGGCTCTATTTCCTCCAGAGCAAGTTCATCTAGAGGCGTGTCTTCAAAACAATTAAGGAGACGGTCGTTTATTGCAATAGGCAGAACGTCCTCCTCCTTTTCTTCTTGAATAAGCATAGGTGGTTCTGAGTCAGGTCTAGTTGGTTCCACCTCACGTACGACTATGTTGGCTGGGACTTGGCTAGGAAGAGATTCAGGTAATATCACCATAGTAGCCCTAGCGAGTGTTGTTATGCTCTCGGGTTTCACTGATGGTGTAGAACTAGGTGAATCTTCTAGAACTAGAACCTGATGGTGGAATGATTCAGGGTTGGTCTTAGGTTGTAGAGCCTTTTTTTGAGGTTGGAGGGAGCGTTTAAACTCAATAGCCTTACAGAGATCATTGACTAATTTATCAGCTTTAGCCTCAGCTTCTAGTCTCTCTCTTTGAAAGTCGTCCAGCATTTTCTGCATCATTTTTAATCCTTCGCATAATCTCCGTTCGAACTCCTTTTCCTTCCGAACTGATTCAAGAAGTTTTGCTCTTTCTCAAATTTCCACCTTGTTTGCTTCAATTTGTTCTTCAGCAAACAGGGTGTAGTCATGGCAGGAAGGTGGTTCGTACCAGGAGCATTCAGCAAATAAAACTTCGTCAAAATAGAAGATCTTTTGTTCTAATCTTATTATTTCTTCGACGAGCGGATCAGGTTGATCGTCGTATGTACGCCCATTGTGGTCAAAATCATCTTGGTCTCCATGAGATTCATAATAATTATCCCTATCTGTGTCTTGGTATGGAGAATATCCAAGGTTCCTAGACGGGATATCATATGGTGGTTCCTCATGGTAGGGATAGTAGTCAGACCCATTGTTGACTCAGTCGTCATCATCGTATGGGTTCTGATGTGGGTGGTAAGATGGTTGGGTTTGGTACGGGGGGCGGTTGGGTGATTAGTAGAAAGAAGACGGGCCGTAATAACCACTAGAGTTATCCATAATAATTATTACGGTTGGTTGGTGAAAGAAGTGAGAAGATCGTTCTAACCAATCTTCACCCAAGCTAATCAGAAGAAATTAAACTAATGCCGTGCCACTCCCCGGCAACGGCGCCATTTGACAGTCGTAATTTTTCGGATAGTAAACCTTCCCAGTAAAAGGTTAGTTTTCTCTCCGAGTGTCGTGTCTCTCGAGGAGTGGACGAAAAGAATTAGTTTAATTACCCTAATTAGGCAAAGGCTTGGACAGGTTTATGAAAGTCTTCTTGGAACGATTATAAAAGGAGCAGAGTAAAAATAATAAATTAATTTTACATAGTATAAGTTTAGATATGGACCTAGGGTCGGAACATCATTTGGATCTATTTTATCATATTAAATTAACAATTGGAATAATAATATTTCTATTATTACTCATCCATTTCTAGATTTGTACTTAATTCGTTGTACTTGAATATTATAACCCTTTTCGGATACAATATTTTCTCAATAAATGGCTAATTAAATCTTTCGAGATTAATTTACTAAATAAGGAAAGAACAATTGACTAACCATTCCAACATTAATTTAACATTCAAAATACATCACCAAACTAGTCCGAACCCAGAGATCCGGACCCTAACTCATACTATGCTATTGGGGACTTGTCGTGCGGTCCAAAACAAATTAAAAATTTATAAATATCCTTAACTAACCCCCAAGATATAATCAAATAAAAACTATAGCTAGGGCAAGTAAGGGTCGATCATCCCACGGAGAAATGTTGTACTTTTTAAAACCAATTTAGCATGCAAACACATTGTCATGAAAATAAATATAAAAAAAAACAAACTACTACACAAATGACAATAGTTATAAAACTTATAACTAAATAAATTTAAAAACTTATAAATATAACTTATATAAACAAAGAACTATAATATAACTAAAAACATAAAACACATACATAAGATATACTAAAAAAAGGTATAAAAACTTATATTTATAACTTGAAACACGAGGGGGGGGGGTTGAATAAAAAGTAAATATTTTTGGTTTTTATATTTTCTTATTTTTTTTGGTTCTTTTTTATAAAATGGGCGAAAACAAGTCAAAAGATAGTCAACTTCTTCAACCGAGGTAACCCGAAAAACACCGCCAAGAACCCGAAACAAAATTAAAAAAAACGAACACAAATCGAACATTACACGTATAATAGGCACGTAGACAATATATTACGTAACTTACGCACTTAAGAATAGGAAAAACAATCAAAGGCCGAGTCGATTCATTTCCTTAACCACGATATGGAGGATTGTCAACTCTCCACACGGCCCGGAGTCATGCAATTCAAAGGCCCGTTTTGAAATATACCTTAGAACCCCAACTCTCTATTCAAGCATGAAAACATACTTCCACTATAGAAAAAGTTTATAAAAGAGAGAATCTATTATGCATTCAACTCTCATACATAGTCTATTCACAAACCGCCAATACCCTATGCATTTTAATAAACTTTTTCTCCTAATGATGAGCACATTTCACAGATTTCCATGAACTTCTCAAACCAATGACGTTTTTTCTATTCACATAGAGGAACACAACGTATTTTCAATAAAATGAGAATTGTTTATTGCACTTAAACAATCTCAATTTAAAGAAAATGGAAAACAAANGAAGTCCAAAATCCTTAAAATCAACGAACACATGCACAACAAATAAACACGTATGAATTCGGAGTTCATTTAGCTATCTTATGGAGCTAAAATAGCTTCAACAAAAACCGAATTCTACATAAAACCTACTTATGAATTTGAAACAATTAAATCAAATCAACACCAACTTGTGCAATAATTGAAGTAAATAAGAAAGAATTAATTCTCATTCATAAGGTATTGTATATAAACATTTAAAACAAGAACATACACCCAAAAGAACACCAACCGTTATATTTTTTTCAGATTCTATTACATGAACAAGTAACAAAAAAAATGATATATTGGAAAAAAAACAACACTTGAACATAGAAACAACAAAAGAATTGAAAATTTAAAGGGTTGACTTCCGGATTAAGTCCGGAAGCCAATTTATTTGGGTACCTATAGAAGAAGAAGATGAAGAAATTGAAGAATGGAGCTCTCTGGTTCGTTCCCCCCCCCCTCTGCTGCTATTCCTTGTCCAATTTATAGACGGGAGGAATTTTTTTCCGTTGGAGCATTTTGAGTGAAGAGAGAGAACAAGGAGCCGTTGTTGACTTGATTTGGAGAGCAATTCATGGCCGAACGTTGAAGGAGATGCGTTACTGCCAATTTGAATAGGTCGCTGCTCCTCTCCTGGTCTTGCACTAGCTTCAATCGCAGGAAGCACTTTTTTCTTGCGTGACTTTGAATTTGGGGGAAGGACACTTGGGCTTATCTTTGTTTAATTGAGTTGTTGATGATGGGTTTGGGCTCCGGTCCAAACTCAATCTTCTCTTTTCAAACTTGAGCTTCAATTTGGCCTTTTACTGCAATTTATTCCAAAACAAATAGGATATCTGGTAACTTGGGTTAGGAAAAATAAAAATATTAAAATAATAACATGTAAAAAAAAGATTAAAAACAACTATTTTTGAATGGAAATAAAAGGTTTGTAATAATAGGAATTAAAATAAAATTAAGCTAAACAAATGAAAATTAAACAATAAAAGTACTAAAAAGGCCAAAAAGAGAATTAAAAATATTAACCCAAACCCGAGTTATCAAATACCCCCACACTTAAGAGTTGAACGTCCTCGTTCAAGGGCCAAAAGGAATATATTATTTCTTTTTATCATCATCAAGAAGAAACAAAGTGAACTTAAAACCCCCACACTTAAGACTTTATGCTCATTCATATTTTAAAAACAAAGTGAGCTAGAAATCCTAAAAGGATGGAAAACTAAGGTGTGGATTTTTTTGGGTTCTAACAAATGCTCTAAAGCTGCTACAAAAAAGTTTCCTAGCAGAATCCTATGGTTTAGAGCGGCTCAATAGCAGCGGTAGCAAGGTTCATCAATAAGCCTAAAAATATAAAAATCGCACAATTTTCTAAAAATAAAAGGCTCCTAAAACTGGTTTCTCTCTGTTTTTTTTTCTTCAGATTTTAATATCACGCAATGGTTGATTAGGCAGCATCTAGATAATATGTGGATGGCCAATTCTAGAAAACAAAATTCTATGGGATTCCTAGAAGGATTTCAAACATTTTAAGGGCCATTTTACCAAGAAAAGAGCATAAGACTCAATGTAGACTTATAAAGTATACACTTGCCATCTTTCAGAATTAAGCCCCAAGAAAAACAATGAGGTTTTTGGGTCAAATTTTGAAAACAATGCTCTAAATAAGGAGATATGCAACTAAGAATGAAAAATATTTGGACCCAAAACCTATTTTTTTTGAAAATTTTGCCCCAAAAGTTTTTTTTTAAAACAATGACACAAGCATGAGCAACTCCCCCCACACTTAAAATATGCATAGTCCCCAATGCATCTATATGATATGCAAATAAATCATAATAATATAACCAAGAGAATAAGCAAAGAGAAAAGGGAATTGGGGAATTTTAACAAATAAAAGTATACGCAGCATCAATTTATCACTTTCCTCTCCTTGATGTGTTCGGTGGACCCAAAATCTGCAAAAACATGGCTAAGACCAAGTCTTTTTAGCTTTGAAGAGATAAAAATCAGATTTAAAGAATATAGATTTTAAGCTTCAAATTTGGTTCTGGAAACCAATTCTTGTGCTTTTTTGCACTTTTCAAAACAAAATGCTGCATATGAGAAGGTTAGTTATGTCATGCACGTGCAAAGCAGCTCATATGCATCTATTAAACATCATAATTCAGCACATATGCATCGGATGAACTCAACAATCAGATTGAACACCAAGAAAAGATTGCAGATTTTTTCCTATTTCAGCACCTATAAGCTGTAAAAAGTGTAAAATTTGCATTTTGCACTCAAAAAATCAGCTTACAAGTCCAAAAATAACTTTTCAAAGTGCAGAATTTTTCCTTAGTATCCAAAAATCAGCTGTAAACAATGCACATGTCTCAATTTTCAGCTTAAATATGACCATATTATAACACCTGAGAGGTGATATTTTCAACAAAGCAACCATTAGGTACTTGAGACCGCTGATCTGGATCAGAATTTTGCACATTAATAATGTAGATATTAACCATTGAAGCTCAAAAATCAGATTTGAATGGGTAGGTTATTCACTTTTGCAAGCAAAATTGTGACTTTATAGTGCAACTTCTCATTGTGCAAACTGTAATATCAGAAACCAAACTTTGAACACAAAAAGGATAAGGAAACTAAAGCCCAAACCTGAGATACTGAGAGGCTGGAGCTACTGATTTGGATCAGATTTCACACCTGTGTGCAGATTTTTAATCCAAAGGACATGCTTCTACCTATGACTTAATAGCCCTTGAGTTTTCACTCAAATAAATGGTTAAAAGCATAAATGGAGCAAAAATAAACCATTAAGAAACAGCTAAAGCAGCAGTATTCTAAGTACTCTTGATGATGAAGTTTTTTTTTTCATTTTTTTTTGTGTTTTTAACAAAAGCTAAAGATTAATAAGCAATAAAATTAAAGAAAGAGCAAGAAAAGTAGGTGGGTTGCCTCCCATAAGCTGCCCGATTTAACGTCTTTGGCTAGACGAATCTAGGAAGAGTTCTAAGGTTCGGCTTCTAGTTCTAACTCCTCCACTAATCCTGCAAATCCTCCCTCACGAAAAAGTTTTAACCTATGACCATTTACCTTGAAAGTAACTCCAGAGGATTCATTCTTAATGTCTACCGCTCCATGGTTATAAGTTTTAATAACGGTGTAGGGTCCTAACCATCTAGAGCTAAGTTTTCCTGGAAAAAGTCTAAGCTTAGAGTTATAAAGAA